AAGTTGGTTTCACAGAGGGCAGTGATATCTGGTGACTTTTCCAAGAGAGAAGATTCTACACTGCAGAAGTTGGAATAGGTACCATGAATATTGAAGAAAGATTGAGAGTGATGGGTGTTTTTTGTTAATTGGTTTAGCTTTTCTTTTCTTTTTTCTTTTTTCAATTTCCATGAGATGTGTTTTGAGAAGAGAGGAAAAAATAAATAACCACCTTAATTGTCATTGTCATCAATAACAATACAAACCAACCAGTGTTAGCTGAAACCAGAGCCTAATGTGGCCTGCCTCATGGTTTCCCACCAGAAATACATGCAAGGATACCTACCCTTGCAAGACATGGCACTATAGATATCCTAATATTATGCAACTATTGATCAGAAGAGCCTCTCTAAGCACTATCAAAGAGTACAGGCTCCTAACGACCAGTTGGAAGCAGCAATTAGCAAACTGCCAATCTGGTATCCTCATAATGGAAAGTCACAGCCACTGGTTAGTATGATCACCAAAGAGTTATTGTGGCCCTGGTAGGATAAAGAAAGAAAGAGTACCAGTAAAGCATATCCTGAACAGAGAACAAGGGATAAACTTCTACTCTTGTTCAATAGACATGGAAGTAGTGCAGACTGGATGATAGCTGAGCCTATCTACTCCTATTAACTTGTAGAAGAAAAATTGGAAAGAATTCATATTAAGTAATGACTTAGTGTAAGTTCTGATGTCTACTTCCAACTAAAAAATCAGATAAAAATTATTTAAATATATATATATATATATATATATATATATATATATATATATATATATGAGAGAGATTTAAAAAGGCATATAGACATTTTCATTATTTTTCATTTAAGATCCTTACAACCAACACTTCTTCAGAAGGAAACTGTTGGTATAAATAAGACGTGACACAAAATGATGTTCATGGAAAAGCAAAAATAGTAAATACAGAGGGGAAACTTAGGAACACAACTAAAAGCAATTTATTAGTAAAATAATTCATGAATAAAAAGAATTAGATGTTCCAAGTGAGTATTAAAAAGGAAAAAGTATTACAACCCCTCCAACTAAATATAATAAGTGAATAAAATGCTCTTTTTGCTTACATAGATCTGGTTTGTGTATCTTGATATAAACCACCTTAAGAACTTTTATATTGTGAGTGGACCAGGCCCTATGTAGATCAATGGAAAAAAAATCATCATCATCATACTTATTAACCTAGTCAGGGATGTCTAACAGGTGCTAACCTATTGCTGATTCATTTACAGACTGGGTTGTCCTGGAAGAATGATTGAGATTACCTGATCTTATAGTAGCAGGAACATGTTGACTAATTCAGGTCTCTACTCTCTGATTGGTCCAGCCTATGTATTCAGCATCACACTGACATTTAAACTTTACAAAATAGAGCTATTTTGAAAGAGAGAAACACCAAACAGGTCTCAAAAACAACACACACCCTAACGGTAAAAAATCCTGATGTAATACACACTGACACCCTGTAAGCAAGTATTTGACTCTTCCTATCTAATGACAATAGTTTCAAATAAATGGGACAAAGATAGGGACCAAAAACTACTGGTTCTTTGAAACATTTGTTCTTACGTTCAATAACACATAGCTGAAAAACCATTGTCAATAAAAATACACTGAATTTTCTCAAGTTCCTGGTTAAGGGTCCAGGGAGAGAAAATCATCAACACGCGATGGACTAAGGTAGATATCTATCTGGTTAATTTTTACCAGGTTTATTTATTATTATTTAATTTTATCAAGTTATTTTTTTTCCAGTCTTTTGTGTGTGTGTGTGTGTGTATATATATATATATATATATATATATATATATATATATATATATATATATATATATACACACACATGCTGAGAAAAAAGAGAAAATTAAAACAATGAAGGAAGAAAAAGAAAAATATAGAATAACATTCAGAAATAAGATGGCACAGAAAAGTGAAAAGGACACAAAAAAAAAGAAAAAAAACAATCAACAATACCAATACACAGTTAAGACTAGTGAAATGCTGAAATAAGTACAAAAGCTTTTCAAGAGAAATACATTGAAGAGGACTAAGCCTACTATTAACATAGGTAGGCTGTTTTTTGTTTTTTCTCTCTTAAGATTAAATGGTTGGATATTTTCTGGACCGACTGCAGACATTTATCATATGTAGACTTGACCAGTTTACTACACTAGAACTGCTATATTGTTCATTTAAATGTCAATACATTATTGCTAAAAAAATCAAATCTATATTCAGACTTAATTTTGTTAAATCATATTTAGACAGATATGTTTATTCAAAAATTCTAACTTTGAATATAAAATATAGATTTCTGGTCTGGATTTAATACCTGATATTATATTCTGAAAAGTGTTTCACAAATTAATCTCAAGTTTACCATCTTTCTTCTGATTACTTCCTAAAAATCTATTCTGCTTCTTGGTACAATTGTTTCTCATGACATTCTCTAAATACATCTTCAAACCTCTAAATCAGAACTAAATACTTGAGCAGATATTGACTACTGACTGTAGTTCACATTTTTCTTATATTTTATTTTTTTTCATATATTTTATACTTTTATGCAAATTTTATGTTGAAAAGGTTTAAGCTTCAATTTATAAATGATTTTTTATTATTAAGTTTCTTTAATTTTATGAGCTGTAACATGTGTCCCATTGTCTGTAGGAACACCAGTAAATATCACATTTCTTTTTGTTAATGGTTAGCTATTTTAATTTTAAATTATTAAATAGTTAAAGAAGTATTTTAATGTGTTATTTCATCTATTTTTATTTTTAATTTGTTGAATTTGATTGCTGCAAAATGTTGAAACTAAACAATTTATTAGAAAATTGTAAAACTATTGATTAGCTTCACCTAATTTACCAGGTTGCTTTTTGCAGTCACTTCTGGCAGGAAATTCTTTGTATTGTTGATGAAAAGAACTTTTACTCTGGATGTTAGCATTCTTTTTATCCAAATTTCCATTCTGTCAGTTTACCAAGATTCATAACTTTGTCGAAAAGCAATAATGCTCCGATTGAAATGTGAAACGAGACATGTCACTCATAAACAATGGTTTCTTATCAAACCTCTTTAAAATTTTTGAATGAAAATATTTGCTCTTTTTCTCTTTTCACACAGTTAACAAATATCACTTATTCTATTTATAACAATCAAGCATTCTTTTCTGTATTTCATAATGATCCTACTTATTAAATGCTGTTTATATGAAAATTTACTAACCTCTCACACGAATAATGTTTTCTAAACAATACACAATCTATCTTCAGTAAAAAAAAAAAAAAAAAAAAATTATTAATCATAATTTCTATTATATTTAAACATCTCCTTTTCTATTGGCATTAACAGCCTGGATCCTTTTTATATTGTTTAGAAAGATATAAGATAAAATTTCTTTAGTAATTCAATATTCCTTATTTTTCTTTAATAACATGGGGAACACTTTAAAACATTTGAGCACCTGATGTATAGAAAGAGAATTATTTGCAAATACCTAAATGGATCCATTTTTTATTAATATTTTTATCTTGTAAGTAAATATATCAGAATCTTTTTATACTTATCACTACTGTTTCATAAGCTAGATTTGGAGAAAGCTGTTCTGTATTCTTTTTTTACTGTATAAAGAAAATGTTTTTAGTTGATCTCTTATAAGAATTTATTTACAAATAAAATATCCTACTTTATATATATATATATATATATATATATATATATATATATATATATACACACACTTTTTTTTTTTTTTTTTTTTTTTTTTTAATATTGAATCTCACCAGGGTCGATTTGTCAGGAAGGTAATTTCTCGATGTTATCAGTCTGGAAGAGGTGATCTCACCATGCAGCACCTTTTAAAAAGTGCTAGAAAACCCTACCATGAGTTGAACCAAGCCTTGTGAGTAAAATTGGCTAGATGGAACCCTTGGGGTGCTATCAGTGGTTGTGCTAGCATGAAGTCACAAGTCATTGTAACAGAGGGTTTGAGCATGCTGGCCTTGTCCAGACTGTTGATCACACTATAGATAACACACTCTCTCCTAAAAACTGTAACTAAGGTTCACTCAGCATAGTTACAGTATAAACCACAGGTAGGCTCTTTTAGTGTTGAACAAACAGAAATGTGCCTGAGCAGATGACTGCAGCAGGGAGATATATATAAATATATATATATATATATATATATATATATATATATGTTTTATTACTTTTTATTTTTATTTTTTCTCTCACTATTTCTCTCTCCATTTAGAGAGATTTTTGTGCATGAAACAATTCAGCCTTTTTGCTTTGAATGCAAATGATGTTCCCCTGTGTGTGGGTAGGGTGGGGGGTGTTGAGTAAAGCAAACTCTCTTGATTAAAACATGTTATTTGGTAGATGATACATCTTAGTGACCTGTTAATTCAAACAGGCTTCATAATGCAACTGCTTCCTGTATTGAAAGCTTTCACTTATAAGCATGTCATTTGAGGGAGATTTTTCATTTCAGAACAACTTGTAGAACATGTCAGTTGATTCAGTTTTCATTCTAAGATTTCTTTTTGACTGCCTTTTCTGAATGATCAATAGAGAAGCTTTGTTGAAAGAAAGTTTCTTTTGAATCTATAATTCTAAACCTTACTGGTGCCTCCATTTAGTAAACTTAACAGCCAAACCATTTGTAGCAAGAGTGTAACTGCTTTTGAGCAAGACTGAATTTCAATTGTAACATCTTTACCTGGTTAATTGGATTTTAGTTTAAAATATTACAATAAGCAAAACATTTGAAGGATTAGATTCTGCCCATTTTTAAGAAAATAATTTGTTGTTTAAATGCAGTCTTTATGAATGTTTATAATTTCCAAAACATTTGTCTATCATAGAAGTCTGTTGGATTTCTTTCAGTTTTTTTCAGTAAGAGACAATAACTTCTGATGCTATTTTTTTCATTCCTTTAAAACTTTTTTCAGGTGGTCAAACTAAAACAAGTCGAACATACATTAAACGAAAAAAGAATATTACAAGCAGTCTCTTTTCCATTTCTTGTGAGCCTAGAATATCATTACAAGGTAAGAGTTTTTTGTAAAAGCTATATTCTTTTATCTTTTTTTTTCTTGTGTTTATTATTCTGTAGTAGCTGACATTGATAAATGTTTAAATTTCTAAAACCTCATCGACTTGGTATCTCATCAAAGACCAAAGTAATATGATGCTTTTATTTCTTTTCTTTTTCTTGTGGTGAATAGACCTTTTAAATTATTTGCACACTCCTTTTGATAAGTATATTCTTTTTAGCTTTTATTGCTATCAGATTGTCATTTTGCTTTTGAACAGTTTATTTAAAGATTGCACTTAATTAGAATTTTAAAATCTCTGAAATTGTCAACATGTTTTATGCATTTTGCAGAAATGTGTTGTCTCTTTCTCTCTGTTTCTGGCATAAAAAGTGACTTGTAAAATTTAAGTGATATCATTATTGAAATACTACTTTTTGTGTTGAAGTGATCAGCTGTTTGATAGTCAAACAGGCTAATTGGAAATGCTTGATCCTATTAGACATTGGTAGCTGATGACAGCTAATTGTCCTTACTTGGAAGGAGATTAAGTTAGGCAGATGAGAGGGCATAGCTTGTTAACTGCGATGGTATGAAGAGACACTATCTTGCGTGTAAAGATAGTGACCTCCTTTTTAAGAAAGGCTGACAATAAATGAATGGGATTCACTGTATGTACATTTACTTGCTGATGTAATGGCAGTGAAATGTAACGTTAGCTTTTCACTTTATTGCCATTGTATCTAACTGGTTTTGCATGTCACTTTTATCTAGTTTCCTAAGCATATTTATCTTGTTCCAAGTTGTCATAAAATGGATCTGAGTAACACACATCATAAAGACCTGTTTAATGCTTTGAAAGTGTTAAAAAAAACAAGTTTCATTTTGTTGACTGGACATTAATTCCATGTCAAGTCATTGTGGTTTGCAGCATTGTTAATGGCTTTTTTGTACATGTGTGTACTCTAAGCTAGTGCTGCTCTTGAGCTTAAAGGTTGGGTGGGTATCTTTGAATGTCAATCAATAGAAAATTGAGCTAATATATTTTTGATTAATCAAGTTTTTTCCTATAAACAAAACTTTAATTTGATAGTGACATTTCTGCTGATCCTGTGTTATTAAATATGAAGAGAACTTATTTAAACAATAAATCTAAGCAGCTTAAAAAGTTACGCAATATTTCATGGGGTATGCTTATAAAATGTGTTTTAATTTCCCAATTTATAAAGAATATTTGTGCTTTGCCAGTGAATAGGTTTTCTGCTAGGCTCAATATAAGCAAAATGGATTCTGTTTGCAACAGATTTGTTAAAATTAGAAAAAATGAATTTTTCCTTCATGAATAATCTGCTTTTTGCAACCATTAAAGTCTTAATTATTAAATTTAATTAGAATTTTAAATTGTTGCTTCAATTATTATTAAAAAAAACATTAATTTTCATGTTTTTGTTGAATTTCTAAAATGAGAAATTATTTACATTTGGAATAATATCTTCATCTTTGGCCATTGTACCTTCCAACCTTCTTCAGGTTTCTCTTTATCTGATTAATTTTCAGTGCATTTTGAATTGAACCCTTTACTTAATTTACAAGTGTAAATTGTTCTCATTATACTGTCCATGTTTAGGGATCTCTCGTCTTTTTCTCTCCTAGTAAAATGAAAACAAAACAAATTATCTCAAGACATGGACAATGGAACAAGAACAATCTACTCACATGGATAAAATAAATGGTTTAGTTGAAAATTCCCTGATGGTTACATGAATTGAGACTCTTGAAGAATGCCAAAGACTACAATGGTTGAAGTGTTGCGATAACATCAAAAATGAGGATATTAGTCCAAATGTAAATAATTTGTATATACAATTTGGAAATAAAATTCTAATTATTTCTATATGAAGTAATTGATAAATATGCATTATTATTTTTTTTTTTTTTTCTTGTTAATTCTTTGTCACTGACAGTTATTTTGTTTGTTTTAAAATAACCAGTTTTTATTTCTATTTTGTAGGATAATTCAAATCTTTACATGGTTCTAGAGTTTGTCACAGGGGGTGAGATGTTTTCCCATCTTAGACGGATAGGCAGATTTAGGTAAGTCTTGCCATTACACATACAAAATGAAATGGAGGTTCTGTTTGCACACTTGCAGAGAAGTCTCTTTTGTTATACTTTAAAGTTTAAGATTTTAAATATTAACCTTTGTAATAAAAATATCAAAATAGAAATTTCAATTTGCTTTTCTTTTAATCTGTTCTCATGTAATGCAACAACATGCAGAATTGTACTCTGATTTAATTGGATATTAGCTTTATGGTAATATTGTCCTTTTGGCACAGCTGAAAATGATTCCTAAATTGATTTAAGATAATTGTTTGAAATGTAAGAATGTAAATATTAACTTGCTTGATATATAATGATTTATCATGAATATTTAATTTTTACTTACTAAAGCAATGAAAATGTAAGAGATATTAGACCTTTTAGTTTTTAAATGTTTCTCAAATTAGGATTTTATTTTATTTTGCCTAAAGATGATTTAGCTTTGCATTAGTCAAAAATATCATTTCTCTATTTACATGGACAATTGTTGAAGTTAAATGTGAAAATTTTAGGATTTTGTTCAACTATAAAATCTAATCACATTGTGCATAATCCCTAGCATCTTTTTTTTTCTTTTCTTTTTTTTTTTTTTTTTTTTTTTAAATAAACTCTTGTTTCATTTTCTTGTTTATTTGATAATAATGTTTTCTAGAATTTAGAAAATAATTACTAAGTTCTTTGAAAAGTTTGCATTAACATTCTATGAATGAAACTGTTTAAAATTTAATTTATAATGAGAAAAATTCCTTTGAATCATTTCCAGCTTTATTTTACTTTTAAATATTTTAATCTCTCAGCTTTTTAATAATACAAACTCTTTATTCACTTTTTTTTTCCAAATTACTCATAAAAGTTAATCAAATTTTCTTTGGACATTTTAATATTTTGTGTTTTAAATTTCTTTTTCCTTCTTCAGAAATACGACTGAAATGTTTCTCTGAAACGAATGATTCTGAGGCTAAAACTGCTCCAAAAAACATGACTTAAACACATCAGCAATTTTTGACTTAACAGCTTAATTTTGTTAGGTAATCAAAGCAATAAAAATGAATTAGTTAAAAGTAATTATTACTCTAGAAGTAAGTTGACCCATTAGAAATCTGAAATTTTGAAATTATTTCAAAATAATTTTTTTTTTATTGCTTGCCATGAAAATTTAACGAATACAATTTTATCATTTGCAAAACAGTCATCCTACCTCATTAATTCTTACTAATGTTCATCGTCAGATTTTCTCTTGAAATGTTTTAAAATTAATTCCCATCTTGTTAAAGCTTTCTGAAATAATTCAACTTCTATGGGGCATTTTAATATTTTTTAAAAAATGGAACTTTAAGCATTCTGTCCACAAAAATCTTATTTGAGACATTTATTAAGGATTTTTTTTATTTTTAAACAAGCTGAGGTAGATATAGAGAAATTTATACACACTAGAATACCAAAACTCCCTCAAGTGCTGATGTAATTAATCTACTAATAAAACCCATTCAGTTATAAATTTTCTTTTAATCTGAGCTTAAATTTAAGGTACTTTAAATTGATTGTTAATGTTGAAAATCCTTCAGTTAACCTAATTATTAACAGTTGATAATGGAGTCAGACAAATTTAAGGATTATCTTGTTTCAAATTATTTATCTGTAAAGCCTCTCATATGCACACACTTGGGTGACTTTTTTTTCTTTTCCACTGTCAACTGTGTTCGCTTTTGATCTTGTATCATAATTTGGATTTTCTGATGTTTCTTAATTGGATTTGACTTGTCTGCAGCTTTTTTGATTTATTAAGCATATCTTCTCTTTTTTTTTTTTTTTTTTCTCACCTATGACTTGCAAATGACCATTCTGATAGTAAATGAGTCACTCGTTTCCCTATTTTGAGAGATTTTTCTGATAAGAAGAGAAATGGGGCTATGTGGACACCTTGGCAGAAGAAATTTAGATAATAGCGTTGTGGGATAGCCCTGGTCAGCTCCAATTAATGTAGTGATAACCCCATGTATCCAATTTAACATCTAAATAAAATTATCTGATCAATGGATGGGATTGAAATATTTATATAAAGTTGTAATTGAGAATGCTTCAGAACTGGAAAAGACATTCTCCAAAATTGTAGCAAGACATTTGAACAAGGAAAACATATCAAGATAGCTTAAATTTGTGGGATTCTACTTCTAATTGAATAATGTTATCAATAAATATATAATTATGCCAATATATATTATAAGTTATAAAAGTTATCTTTTCTATTTTTCTTTTCTCTCTCTCTATTGTTGACAAAATCTGGTTCTTTAACAAAAAAAAAAAAATTGATGGCCTAAGAAAGAAAGTTTTAGGCTGAGACATCAAAAGTTACTGGAACTTCATCCATTTTCCCAGTTTGACTGGCAGAATTCAAAACTAGTTTCTTTTCCTGCATTTATTCCAAATTTATGAAATTCTCAAATTTAGAAAGGAAAAAAGATGGGCCATGAAACATGTCCCCAATAACAGTAGACGTTTTGTTTTCTTTCTTACATTCAGGAAAGAAGCACTTTCTTGTTCTAATGTTGAAACTGTTTAATATTCCCAATTTGAGTTAACTTTCAACATTGCTAAGCTTTCTAGACATTTTTTCTATTAAACATTTATTTTCATTCAGATAACTCTTTCTTATTCAACTACTGTTTGAACTTTATAGCAAGTTTGGAAAAGCTGTGAATATCTCTGGTTGCAGTATTTACATTAGTTGGACTATTGTCCTCATCTTTGTCGCCATATTTGTCACAACGTTTCGGCCGTTGTACGCTCCGGCCTTCTTCAGGTGGTTGGAATTTCTAACTGAACCCTTTATTTCGATCGCTGGGGTAGACTGTTCTAATTCTACGTGCCATGTTTGATGGATGTCAGTTATCAGTTATCTCCTGCTAATTTTCCCTCTGAAAGTTCTCCACTGCCTTAACCAGGAATTGAACTCACCTTCTTTGGGTCTGTCACTGGATCTAACCAACGCCTTTATCCACTGTGCCATGTGTCCTTGAGGACACATGGCACAGTTCGAAATTCCAACCACCTGAAGAAGGCGGAGCGCATAAACGGCGTAAACGTTAGACAAATATATGACAAAGATGAGGACAATAGTCCGACTAATGTAAATACTGTACATAATACCTCATCTCAGAAATATAGACAATCTCTGGTTGCTTTAGTTAAATTAAATCCTCTATTAGAGCCCAAAGTTCAATTGTTAAACAAAAAGAGAACAAAAAAATTTGAATGTTTTCATTGAACAAATATTGTATATTTGTAAATGGTGGTAATAGTAATTTCAAATTAAATACGTTTTTGACATTTTTATTTATCTTTTAACTGTGGCAGCTGAAAATGAATTTTCAAATAATAGAAACTCAACCAGAAGTGTATAAGCTAATCTTTCTCTCTCCCATCAAATAACAGCTCATAAATTTATTTGCAAAGTTGGAACTATTGAATGTCATATTTGTAACAAGATGAAAAAAAAAAAAAGAAAAATAAGGAAAGAAAGAAAAAGTTTATCAGCTCAACTCTTCCATTGATCAGACCTGAAATGATTTTTTTTCTTAGATTCTGTAGTTTCCTTTATCATATTTCTAACTTCTTATCAACTATGCAATTTCCAGTAAGATTTCTGCTTGGAGGCAGGTATTTGCTATTGGTTTCAATTACCATTTAGAAATGAACCTGGATGTGAATTTTCTAGCAATAATGAAATTTTACCAATATCATTGAAAGCAGACATTGTTAAATTGGCATTTAAAAAAAAAAAAAATTAAAACTGTACTTGCCTCCAAAGTAAGTTCTTTTTCCTGTTTGAATCATCAAAGTTCTTTACTAAATAATTTATCTATCTTATCAGTTTATTGCCCTTTATATCTTGGTACTGTGTTCGTTTAGAGCTCTTAGTTTTTCTCTGCATCTCTAACATTCGATGCCTTTAATCCCTCTGCCATCTGGGCTGTCATCTCGATTGTTATATAATTACTGTCTTATTTCTTCTGCTTCAGTGAGCCTCACTCCAGATTTTATGCTGCTCAAATCGTTTTGGCATTTGAGTACCTTCATTACTTGGATATAATTTACAGAGATCTAAAGCCTGAGAATTTGCTTATTGACTCATCGGGTTATCTGAAAGTAAGTAGATAATAAAAAAATAATACTGCTGCAGAAAGCCAACCCTAGGACAACACAGATTGCAACCCAAGACTAGAAAATGATGTTGATTGTTTTCTGGGAATTATGCACCTTCCACCTGACACTGCAGACATGTCCACATTAAATGAATTTGACTTGGGCAGCTCCTTCCATCATCTCCATTTCACTTGAAATAGACTCATTCAGTATCTGTCACAAGATGTCCACTGAGAATGGTTGCATAATTCCAAAGAAAACAGGTGATGTCGTTTTTCAGTTCTTGAACTGGTGTTTTCTTGATGTTGACTTGAGAATGTAATATTGTAACGTTTGTTGTTTGCCTTTCTTTTCTTCAGTGAGCCACATTCCAGATTTTATGCAGCACAAATTGTATTGGTCTTGGAATACTTACATCATTTGGATATTATGTACCGAGATTTAAAACCTGAGAATTTACTCATTGACTCCCAGGGCTACTTGAAGGTATGGTGTCACACCTCACTCTAATGTTGTATGGGGATGCTTTCTAGGATGCCCGCCAAGCTGCCGCCGCCGCCGCCGCTGCTCTCTATATCCTGCATCTCTGCAATACACCCGCACAAATGGTGGGATTTTTGCATATCATGCTTCACGTCATGCCTTGGTGATGGGGCTTGAAGATTCACTTGTTTCATATATTCTAGGCTGCATATTTTATTTTCAAGCTTCATGTACTGTTGCACATGTTCACTACGCACAATAAGGTCGAGTAAACTTATAAATTATGAATCTTTCTAAATAGTTTGATTTTGAAGCTTTAGAACTTTGACAAATATATTTAAAAATATTTATAATTTTTATATTTTAAAAATATTTTCTCATTAGTAAAGTCTAATTTCAGATATATACAATATATTTTTTTATCTTCATAATTTTGCTTGACATTGAAATACAATATTTTCATTTTCCTGCACCCTTCTTGTCTACATTGCTTAATCTTCCCTACAAATTCATTAGCAATTATCTAACAGCTTTGAATAAAACTGTCTTATTTCCTGAATCCATTTCTATGCTCCATCTCTGGGTAATATTTATTGAGCATGTTTAGGTGATGGAAGGAAATGATATTGGGCAATGTCCTCAAAAGAAAAGTCGGGGCTGGGCTCTCTCTTTGCAAGTTTGTTTTTAGAAGACTAAATTTAATTTCTCTGAAAGCTGTTTCTTGGGGTTTTGTAAAAAAAAACAAAAAAAAAACACTGAAACATGTTAAATATAATGGAATATTCATAGAAGAATTTAACCAAATTAAAAAAAAAACTGAATCTCTATACAGCTTGCTGAAATCTAATAAATTGTATATTTATTAACTATAATTCATTTAAAATGCATAAATCCCATTAATGAAAGCCTGAAATTATCTGAATCCTTGCAATAACACAATGTCAAATTGAATGGTGCTTGATTTTTATGTTACTTCAAGTCAAATCTTGATGAAGAGTGATTTAATTTTCAGTAAATGCAATGTTGCCAATGTAGCCATCAATGTTTCAAGGACTGCTGATTAGTCATGACAGAAATAAATCTTTCTGAAATGATTCTCCCTTTTTGACTTAACCAATATTTATTCTTGCTTTAATTTGGAAATTAAATGCATTTGTGACTTGAATTGTCTGCATCCAAACTTGACCTTTGATTTGCTCAACATCTAATCTCCTCTTTCCAATGATTTTAGGATTCTTGAATTTTATTTATGCTCTTAATCTTTTCTCTGGCATATCAAGTGTAACCTTTTTGCTTGTTCTTCCCCTTCTCTTTCAATTTATTACTTTTCTATCTTCTCTTCATTTCTACTTTGCTTTTATGTGAACCCCCCCCCCCATTTTTTTCTTTTTTTTTTTTTTTTTAATATAATAAATTTTAAAGTTTGTTGTTTAATAAGCCTTTTTCCAAGGGGGTTCTGAAAAGTTCTAGGTCAAACCAACTTCCCAAAATCAGTAGTTCAATAACCTCAAAATAACATCAATAACATCAAAGTACTGATATTTTTTTTTTTTTTTTTTTTTTAAGTGGATTATGCTGAAAATATTTCAGCACCCCACCCCCTTGTAAATGACATTAATTACAGTAATATCTTAAATTTGATACCTTGCTGACAAATGAATTTTATGTATTAATTCCTGAAGCATTAATTACTATCTGATTAATGGCTCAAATCTTTGTCACTGATGATGTACAGAATACAGTTTAAATAAATTGATTAATGTGAAGCTTTTGCTTTATTCAACAGATTTTTTTGTGCAAATTGAGTCAGTTTATTACAGTTAATCAATGCTCTTCTTTACTGGATATAATGTGTTATGTGAATTAACTCAAGATGCACACACAGATGAGCATGTGGGATGCTGAAAAGTTTTTGACTTGGTTTTAAAAAAAAAAAAAATGTAATCCAAAAATAATTTTTATATTTGTTCATTTTCTCAGATTTTGGGAAGTAGATTGGTTGGGTAAAACTTTTCAGCATCCACATTGTGTATTTGTAATAATCTCATTTATTTAAATCTTTAAACTGATTCGTTTATACTGCCATTTTTTTTAAAAAGAAATCCATGTCCTAAGTAATTTATTTTTTTAGATGCTTTTGATTATTTTAGCTGAATTTTTGTTACCTACTTTAAACAATACAAAAATTCTTAGAAAACATTAACAATCTAACTGTAGTTAAATTGCGTATTCAATTTTTTATGCATCTTTTTGGATTTCTCTTTTTTTTATAAAAACATAAATGGTGAAATTTCAGTTTGCAGCTACTCTGGCTACATTTCTAAAGATATTCACTTGTTTTAACAAACACATTCTCAAGCTTCTTTGTTTAAGTTAATTGATTCATTTCTAAACAAGTGGTTAATGAAATGTATTACTGATATCGGCCATAAATCTTTCTCTTCCACACATACAACTTTATTAGCAAAATTGCATGAGTTTCTCCATAGACCAGAAATATAAACCAACAAATTCAGGTTTAGGCATTGTAACTTTTGAGATCTTCAGATTTCCACCAACAAAAGTACTTAATAAATACAATTTCAGAATTTTTTTTTTTTTTCAGTCATCCATTTTGGCAATTGAGGAAATTGGTGCATTTTTAAAATAAAGGCAAAGATAGGAAGTGGAAATATTTCATTGTGAAAATACTTTGGGGGGAGTTGGGGGTCATCCTCTCAATATAAAATCTTCAGTAACAAATTCATTGAACTCTATTAATTTTAGACAATTGTCTAAAATAATTTTATTGAATATCTCAAAAGTAGCAACAACAACACTTAAATATATTTTTGTTTAATTAGAATTGTCATTAACACTGTCTTGGCTTAGCATATTCTGTCAGCTGAAAGGCTTCTTTTTTTTTTCTTTTTTTTTTTCCTCAATTTCTATCTATGATACACAATGATTATCAAGCAATAAACTGATTCTCTATTTCACACAGATAATGAAGCTTATTTAGGAAAAAGTCTTTAATTTTATTGGCTAATCCCAGATCAATTACTTAGTTGTTTATCTTCATTTCTTTCTTGAGTGCTTTTGTTGTGCATTCAATGTTTCTCATCATCTTCCAGTTTCTTCTGCTTTTAATTCTTTGCTTGGCTCTGTTCTATTGTAAAATTCTTTAATGTCTCTGTTGTCTCTCTCTACCTGTCCCTATATTAACTGATTAATTTTAAATTTTCTTGTTCCATCCTAGGTTGGACCTACTTGTTAGCTTTAACATTGTTCTCTTAATCGTGGTGGTGGTTTACTTCCTTGCATCTGTGCTTTGAAGGTGTGATATTCTTTTAATAGAAAGCATCACATTGCAACTTTCAATTCAGATGACTACTAAAGGGTTTGACCCATAAACAAATGTCCTTTTGAACTAAGTTGATACAAAAAGGAAAAATCATTGTTTTTTCCCCTGGAGTATTAAGATTACTATCAGGTCTACATCTCTAAGAATCTGTTTTTTATTCATATAAAAATCTAAGGATGAAATTGTTTAAAAAAGTTCTACAATAAAATAGTTACCATGTAAATCCTACTACTTTAAAAAAAAAAAAAAAAAACTGTGGTTAACAGGAAAAATTTTAACATTTTAATAACAAATCAATAGGAAAATGTTAAAATGTAAATATGATAATTTGATATTAGGAAATAAAATAAAAATTGGTGTTGAGAAAAATAAAGCGTATACAGGGTGTGATGGATAAATTGTCGTCTAAATGTGGCAATAATGAAAATAATACCAACATCTCATTTTAACTGATATATTTACCAAAATTACACAAAAATATCTTGAAATATTAAAGAGTAAATCTAATCAATAAAATTGCCATTGGCTTCAACAATGGTCTTCAGGCAACTTCGGAATCTTCTGCATCTTTTCTGGACAGTCTGCTTGTTTAAGTTGATGAATGCTGCCATAATCCTTGTCTTCAGTTCATCTTTGGTGTTACAAGGAGTTTTTGAGACTCTCTCACTCAACTGTGCCCTACACATAATAATCAAGGAGGTTGCAGTCTGGGGAGTTAGATGGTCAGATGTAAGGGCTGATGTCATCGCAGAAATAGTCTGATAGCCATGATCGGGTTCTCCTGCTTGTGTGGCATGGTTCAGAGTCCTGTTGCCAGACATAGGGTCTTCCAATAGCCACCTTCTTCACCCTGGCCAGCACTACTTCCTCAAAGCACTTGATGTAGGCCTCCATGTTGAGTATGAGGCCCTGGGGGAAGATGAAAAGAGACATAACATCACCTTCACTAGTGATAACTCCAAACACCTTTTATAATCACCATTGGAGTCAGCCAAATCTTTCTGAATCCTCTGCACTGTCTTCAGATTCACACCCAAACACTGAAAATCTTTGGCTGAGCGAATTGTGTCATGGTGCTCTTTTTCCCACAGACAGTGCCCAACTGACACTATTATATTTTGCATCTGACAAAATCAAAAACAAACATGCATGCACAAAAATAAAAATATGAAATGGCGAAAATTTACCCATCGCACCCTGTATATTCAAAGACAATGTGAATACTTAGAATTAAATATATAATTTAATATATATATTTAGATGTTGAGGGAATTTTTATATTAAGATAAGCATTTAATTAAAATTATATTAAGTAACCAGTAATTATTATTTATCTCTGAAAAGGTGACATGTTATAAAAACCTAGTTTTGATTAATTGAATTGGGATATCAAAGCTGATTTACTAATTCTTCTAAATGATTTATGATGAATAAATGTAATCATTTTGGCATTTTTAAAAATTGTTTTTTATTTGCTCACATATATTTATTCTTAAATTTTATTAACTGTTCAGTTTTTCAAATTAACTACAGCTTTTTTTTAAGTAGCAGAGTTGTCATGGTAATGATTTTAGTTTGTTGTTTTGAGAATTCTTGTAAAGAGCAAAATGTTATGAAAAAATATAAACATCCAACTGGTTTTCACATATTCAAGCTTACA